TAATCGAATATTTTTTTACACTCTTTAACTCAAAATCCAACTCAATTTTAATCTAATTAAACTCTTTTCAATATTATCAATATAATTAAATAATAACAATCAGTCATTATTATTACATCAACTTTATTTCATTATTCATATACTTATATATTTTTAACTACATATCATTTGTAATAATATCTATCTTATTTTAACATCACGTAAACTGTAATCATTACATTTTAAATATTATTAATTTATTATACTGACAAAAAAAATTATTAATTTATTATAATACAAACATAAAATTTACTTAATCCTTCACTCAATTAGCTTTATTTAGAATTAACTCAGTTTAATAAGAAAATCTAATCAAAACAGGTTTTATTTATGTCCAATTGCGCCCTAAAAGTCTCAATTGACTTGTATTATGTGTTCATTTTAAATTTAAAAAAATTGTTAAAAAGTAATGACAAATTTATTTATTTATCATTTGGATTATTCTGAACTTTTTAACTTCTTTGGATTTTAAATACAAACATATACAAAATCTTACGCCAAATTTTACTTTTAAATATAGGATTTCATGGGTTCTAGTTAAATCAACAAAAATCTTAAAGTATCATAAAAGTCTTTATCAAATACACCATTACTGTACTTATTTTTTCTTTTCAATAAGGCCACTTTAAAGTAGGCACAACAGTTGAAAAACAATATATTTTTTAACAAATATGCATAATTACATCTTAAATGTCATACTATATAAATTTTCATAAATAAAAATATGAAATTACATAATATAAATACATTTTTATTATGAAAATATGGTAGGTCAATTGCTTATCTGTTAGTCTCACTTATTAGAATATTCACTTGTGAGTTGTCCCACATCGTTTATATATGGAAAATAGGTCTAAATTAGAAATCTGATGGGCTACTCCTCCATCCACTAATTGGTTTTTGGGATGGAACCTCACTTGGGCTTCATCTGGGCTTTCCTTGTTATGGTGCGCTTTACGTATGTGGGACTGCACCCGTATTCCCCCCGTTTCTTACACGGTATCAACCGTTCTATGTAGGACCATGCGATGACGTATCCGTTTCCCAGTCTGTTTCTAGTAGGGCTTGGGAACCCGGCTCCGTATATGGGCTTGAACTTCTTATGATGGACTCACAAGTGAGGGAGCATATTAGAATATTTACTTGTGAGTTGTATCACATCGTTTATATAGGGAAAATAGGCCTAATTTATAAGTTTAATGGGCTACTCCTCCTTCCACCAATTGGTTTTGGGATGGAACATCACTTGGGCTTCATCTGGGCTTTTCCTGTTATGGTGCGCTTCACATACGTGGGACTACACCCGTTTCCCCCCGTTTCATACATCACTCTCACCAAAATTTGTGTTTTCCTTTTATATTTTTTTCCATTTGAACAAAATTTGTGTTTTCCTTTAGGCTACGTTTGAATTGAAAGATTTATTGAGGGATTTGAAATATATAAATTTAAATTTACAAGTTCAAATTCTCATACATGTTGGGATGATAATGGAAGTTGGAGGATTTCGAATTCATGCTGTATATTTTTTAGTCATTATTTTGAAGGATTTTAAATGATTTCTCAAACCTAGTCATTTGAAATCCATTTTTTATCACCATTAACGACCATTATGCTTCTGCGATTATTTAGGTTTATCATCACTGCGAGTCAACACCATTGATGCGAGCTAGACAATTGATTCGTTAGCGACATAGCAATGCGTAATAGCTTAAAAAAGAGATAATATTTTCAACACATCCATTCAAGGAGTGTACAAATAAAAAAATTATATTTCAAAAATTTTAAAATCAAGAAATTTCAAATCCCTTAAAACAAACTTAGACTTAATATTTTCTTTCCAATTGGATTGTTCTTTTTTTACTGGTCACTATAGTGAGGCAATTTATTCCCCGTTTAAAATGATTCTAATCCATCACTTTTGGCCAGGAAAAGTAAACGAATAAAGAAAGCACTCCCACAAATGGCACAAATGCTGTTATCGAGTTGTATTTTTCAATAAAAAATTCTATATTATGGAATGATATATTTTATTTATATTATTTAAACTCTATATTTCAATATACTATTTCCTATTTTTTTTTTAAATGTTATTATTATTTTATCAACAATTAACCAAATAAATGACGTTTTGAATCTTTTGTATATATTTTTCTATTATTACCCTCACCTAGCTAATAAATACACTACGTCTTTTCATATTCACTCTTCATCTTTTTTCAAAACAGTAATCTTTATTTTCATTAATGAGGGTTATTATCAGCAAAAAAAATTCATAATTACTGTGCACTTCAAAACGACACTTATTAAAAATAAGAGAGAGTAAAAATTTTATTTTTACGCCTGTATTTACGTACTGTAAACTATGGTTGTTGATGTCTCACCAATAAAAATTCGTAATTACTGTGCACTTCTCAAAACGATACTTATTAAAAATAGGAGGGGGTATAAATATTTTTATGCCTGTATTTACGTACTGTAAATTATGGTTGTTGATGTCTAACCAATAAGATAATTCGATATTACACGCCCATATATATATATACACTCATACATACAGACACATGAATGTTTGTCGATATAGTGACAAAAAGATTCCGTGGGACATTATATACTAATTCAAATTTAAATTGAGTGTTTCTATTTTGGAAAAGGGAAAATGATAAATTATTAAAACAATAGGGCCTCGTTTACTAGAGATGATGGGATTGGACAAATTAATCCCTTCAATTTGTCGCATCAGATTTTGGATACAAATTGTCCCATGTTTACCAAAGTGGATAAAAGTCTATAATAAATAATAAAATTACTGATTTAATTAATTAAATTTATATTTATAAATTGAATAATATTATTTNTTTATAAATAGCCAAGGCCCAAGTCCCAAAGGCCCCAAACCCAAAGGCCCAAAGTGCAAAGCAAAAAGAAAAACCTGTGTACCCTACACAAAAGCCATACAGTACAATACAAATACATTGCATATTAACACATTCAATGCGGTTCGGTTAAAACCGCACTCTTCGGACACAAAACCGAACCGTACCGAACTATTTGCGGTTTTTCAAATTTTTAACCGCACTGCAAAGGCGCAAACATAACTTTTAAAAAACCGAACCGAACCGCACCGAATACATCAGTTCGGCTCGGTTTTTTGGTTTGGCTCGATTTTGCTCACCCCTAAACATTTTAAAGCTCCTACAAAAAGCATGGACAAAATTTTATAGTATCAAGTCATGGGATTACATAAAACAAAAACATCCAAGTCATGGGATTACATAAAACAACGGACAAAACAATATTCAAATAAGACTATTTTAAAGTTCCTACAAGTACAAGAACACAAGCCACTGTTCAAATCTATGATTTGAGGATGAAATTGGTCGGGCCATTGTTCAAAGCTGCGAAGTAGCCATAAAACAATACAAGGACGAGTATGAAGACAACCTTGGCTGCTGCAAATTTGAGTAGCCTCATATTCTTCTATCTCGGTGCTTTATTGTTATCCTCCAAAGCGTTAACCCTTCTAAGGAGCCCAGGTATAATGACTTTTTCTCGGCGAAAAATCGGAGGGTCCATACACTCAATAAACTTGCATCCTCCTCTCTAAATTAATTGGGGGAGCTCAATATGAAGTACATTTTCAAGCAAGAATCCTACTCTACAACAAATTTTGAATTACTAACCTGCCATGACAAAAAAGAGTGAAACCTCCTACCGGGATTATCATCTGTCCACGATGTGCGGAGGGCAACCCTTTTTCTGCATTGATAATCAAGGGAGCTTGAAATGAAAGACATTTTTTCAAAAACTTTCTTCCACGAAGCAGAGCTTCAAGAAAGAAGAAATAATTTTGAAATTAGGGTTTAATTTTGATTTTGGGGCTCGTTGATTTTGAGGCTAGATTTTGATTTATTTAAAATTATTACAAAAATGACATGGAAAAACATTTCGGAGTCCACGTTAATTAATTGGCTAGAGATCGGTTCATATCAGCCTAGTCGAGGCCCAAATTTGCCAACTCAGCAAATTCTTATCAGATTTCGACTACCGAGATCGAAATTGGACTAATTTGACTACATTTTAGAAATTTGTGGACTAATTTTGGATCGGCCTAAATTATTGGACTACATGGGAAACGACCTAAGTTACTGAATTAAAATTGTAATTTTCATTTATCTTACCAATGATTGGACCAAATGTCAGCACAAATAGAAACTCTTTAGTTTAAATTTTTAAAAGTTGTGCGGAAATTAAGGGCATGATTGTTTATTAACTAGAAGCCAATTTAACTAGTTTTTAACTAAAAAAGTGGAGGGATAAACTAGTTTGTTACTAGATGGGCTTCTACTTGGTCCACGTGCCTTCCCCCATTTTCACACTTCATGTCAGGTTGTACAGTAGGTTGTCGGCATTTGTTGAGCAAATTATAAAATAAAAAATAAAAAAATAAATAAAAAAAAGAGAGAGAGAGATATGAGGCTTGCATTTCCATGACGTGCTAGGCCACTTTTCGGAAATAGAAGGGACGATTGTCAATTTTTGTTTTGTTATTTTTTTTTTTTGTTACATTTAAACTTAATTTGGTAATTTTGTTGGCCCAACAACAAATCTATGCACAAGAAATACATCATGGATATCAACTTTGAACATTCAGGGCAATATATATTTGTAATAAACACAGCCATATTATTTTTTGGTTTTGAAATAACCATTTTTAAAAATTATTTGTTGCCCGATAAAGAAAAATGGAGGAATTACACCATGGTTATCTTATTTCAACGCTCGTCCTAATGCTACAAAAAAAAAACTATACAAAAAAAAATTTCCGTGAAATATGATCAATCATATTTTATTCACAATAATATTTTCAATTTGTAGTAATAATGACAATAGTATTTTCTTCAAACAAGCAATAATAATTATCATTTCACAAATATATTTTTATTTGAAAATTGGAATGCCATTAAATACACCGATGAAGATTACACATGTCCGACAATGAAAGGGAAGTCATTATTATTAAAAGTACATGTGCGAGACCAATCTCAATTTCCTCTCCTTCTTCTTTGTGTTGCCATACGTCTTTCTTCGGCCCAGTAGTCGCGAATAACTTGGTCAAGCTTGCGACGGTTACGTTCATCCATCGCCCTCGTTTCACCGGGATATGGGTCAAGCCGTAGTGGTTCAAAAATTATCTTCAAGGTTTCCCATAGAGGCTCAGGATTGTTGCTACAATAATGGTCTGCTAATGGCCAAAGCTGGCAGAATATGATGTACTCAAAATTTCAATATTATTATATAACAAATGGAGTTAAGTCAATGTTCGTAGTAGAATATATTTATATAACAAAATAAAATACACCGAAAAAAGAAAGACAAAAGAATTGTGGTTCAAGTTCGTACCTCAAGTGCTTCCTCACGATCGTCCTCGTCAATAAAGACGGTCTTTGCGTGTATGTCGAAAACACCCAAGGGATAATCTAAAAAGTATTTAAATGTTCGATACCTTTCTTTCAATACCATGAATGTGGTATAACATTCTTCCAAAGTCAAATTATGGCCAATTTCACCCAAACAACTTCTATATATTCTATCAAACGCCAATAATATGTCAAATTCGGAGTTCAACCCTTCTGACTGGATGTAATGTAGAAGGATTGAACAAAAACACTCCTCAGTTGCTGCAAGCCATTTCTTTGAAAATCCTTCTCGTATATATTGGAAATGTTCTTCCTTTGTTGTGGGCAATGTTAAACCCCACATAATTGACGTTATATCAAATAACGAATGTTTTGCAGTGGTGATAATTGAAGAAATACATTTATAGTGAATTCCATGAACTTGGTTCTATATATAGGCATTACAAGTTATTTTCATTTTTCGTAGGATACTATTTGCATTTACAACTCATTTCCCTTTTTTTACATGTATATTACAACCCATGCATGCCTTCGTACAGGATATTTTTTATCATTTACAACTCATTTCCATTTTTCGTTTTAAAAACCATGGCCCACGCTAGTTGTCGTAGATGGTGTCATATTTTTGGCCGATTTCTTTTTTCCATACTTGTCATTAATGGAAAATCTTTTTTTTCCTATTTCTTTGTTCATCACTTGGCATAAAATGTTGGGAGTACAGGGTATTTTCTTTGCACATCAATAATGTTTATATGAATATTTATAAAATTTATAATGTCTATAAAATTTATATGATGTGGACACATTACATAAAAAATGAATATTTATTTTAAAATCCGTTGTTTGAACTCGGAAAAGTCATATCTATTTAAAAGATACAATTTGCATTAACATCAAATTCCATACATAATAGATACATTAGAAAAAAACATACATGAAGAATAAAAGTAACTCGTAATAAAATTTTTTTTCCTTACATCATGATGAATTTAAGCAGTGCTACAATAGTTAAAAACCCCACCACCACAAAGAAACCTCTAACAATATCTGGGGATGCAATTTCGTAGACTGGCGGTGTGTCATTGTTCGTTGACGCATGGGACGTGCTTGAGTAGTTGGACCCACGTGTCGTATGACTGCTACTTTGTGCATTTGATTGCATTTTACAATATGTTTGAGCAGTTTCCCTTGACGAAAAAAAGCAATTACTCTCGTCCTCCCAAAAAAAATTCCCCTTGTGTTTTAATCCTGCTGGACAACTATAAAAATACCTACCGTAATTTTTTTCAGTTTTAGCCATATGACGGGACATACGGCCATTTCCGCAGCAACACAAAGGTGTTTGAGAAACCATGATTTATTTTTCTTGATGATTTGTTCGTGGGCAAGGGTGGCTTTAAATAGCTCCCGAAAAAATTTTCTCCCCTCATAAAGTTTTCCCTTTTTCCTTTTTCCTTTTTCCTTTCCTACTCATTTTCACCCTATCATTCACCTTTTTGACCATCCTCCTTACTTTTTAAACCTAATGAATGAATGAGACAAGACTTCCTGCCACATGCATGTGCCAACCTCACTCTGCACATAATAAAACGAAAGCAAGAAGCCCATGCTAGGATGTTCACGCCACAAGAAAACAAACAAAAGGCTACCACCGTACTTGCATTGAATAGATGAAAAGACCACTCACAATCACACTTTGGCAATAGGGTTTTATTTTTTAAACACAAAACCAGATAAGGCAACAACGTCATATACCTGTTGTTGGCCAACCGAGCGTTCGCGAAATTTATTCTAGGTCGTTCGTGTTCGACAAAAGCTCGTTCATTTGTTAATTGAATGAACAAAAGAAAAAAATCAATTCGACAAGCTGCACAAATATATGATTAATATTTTTTTATTTTACGTAACCTAATTATAATACATGTGCAAATTATAATGTTTTTTCCTTTTTTTGGTTTTTAAAAAAAATAGTCCATTATTTTATTTTCGCGTTCCAACGAACAATCTGTAACACGAGATTTTGTAAGGTAGAAGATATGAAATAGCCCGAACATTTGGTCGAACGAAAACGCATATTTTGAAAACAACTCGATATCACTATTATATACTTGTATGACTAATGGCATTTTGAACTTTCCAATTTTTCTTTATTCATAATACAAAAATAATCGTGTATACGTGGGCCAGTATGCATGGCTATCCATTTGTTTGTAAAACAATTGCATGTGGCTCGTAATGTACTTTCTTTTGATTTTATAACTATAAGGAAAAGATTTTCTTGTATACTAATATGAACTACAAATATAATGACAGTTTGTGTAATTTTTGTTGCACTACACATATATAAAATGATGAGGATGAATATACGAACATGAATTATAACATAATATTAGAGGATTCATGAGTACTACAAATCGTCCAAAACAATGACATTTTCAAAACACAATGTTCGAACAATAACACGAGTTCACAGTAAATCACGGGCTACCCGAAAGAACACGAGTTCACTTTCAACCAACACGAGTTACCTCGAAACGAACACAATAATACGGAACTAATGTGAAGCACAAAATTGAGCCTTCAACCATTTCGGTAGCCTCCACAAATTCCTCCGCATCCAAATTTTGCATCAAAACCTTTCCATGCCCTTGAACTATTCGTAGTTCATATGTCATCCCCTCAAACTCCAAAATTGCTCTGAAAGTGTCGCTGGGGTCGGTAAGGACATAAGATCGCCAAAAATTTATAGGAACTGGCTGCAATAGAGGGTACGTCAAGANTTTTTTTAAAAAAAAAAAAAAACAAAAAGAAGAACGCGAGAAAAAAAAGGATATTAATACACCATTACCAAACGTGCACGTTCAACATGGGTTTTCTTGATTTCTAGCGTGAAGCGGTGGCGAAGTGGACGCTCAACTTGATTGTCCGTGTGCACTGTGACTATGAAATCCGTAAGCGATGTGCGGTCAAACCACAGACAGTTGTCGGTCTTAATCTCCTCACCACGCACAAAGTTTAGCCACCCTTCGGCAAAAACCACCCGAAAGCAATTACCTCTCAGCTTAACGAGATACCTCCGCCCTTCTCTTGTGTTAATGGTGCACTGAACCGGTACAAGTTGGCTATATTGATGGTTTAGAGCGTCGGGAAGCTTCTGCGTTGAACGTACAAAAAAAAATGACGATTTGTTTGATATTATAGGCAACAGTTGACGACGAAATTATAGTTAAAACGAGGATTCGAATTATGCAAACCTACCAATCTTGGTTTGTCCGGATTGACAATGTACCTGAAGAACCTTTCAAATTGCTCGGCCATGTTGTGTTACGTGTTATGTACGTGGTTAAGGCCTAAGACAAAAATTCCCAACTTCAGACCAAGTATAATATTATAGTAAAATAAATAACAATTCTTGGACACGACCAATGTAGGGGGGAACGCAAAGGTACAACACACATACAAATATGGGGCCGAAATGTATGACGCGAAATGGGAAGTCCGTTCAGTCTACAATTTCGAAATAAAAGCGATTCAAATATATCGCAACTCCGACAGAATTAAATTGCTTCCAATTCTAGGGAATTTAGGCTTAAAGCACAATAACCAAGTTGAATCGTTGGTTTCGAGAACACAACAAGTAAAACCAAAAATTGCCAATTTGCAGAGCATACCTCTTACAACGATTGCACCTTCTTGTCCGCTTCGAGTGTGACGGTACCGAGGGGCAATTGGAGAGGGTCTGTAGATGGAGAAGAAAGTAACTTTCGGGCTTTGGGGGAATGGGCAACAGTGGTGGAAGCCGGACAAGTATTGGAATGAGCTATGTCGGTCCTCGATTCCACCGTCTATCTCGGCTCTTGTAATTGTCTTTTTTGGTCAAATGGTGTTGATGAAAACACAGACCTACCCTTCTTGATTGTACCGAAAAAGTGGACGGAGAAGCATTGGAAAAATGCCCTATTTGGGTCCTTCTTGGTTGTATCGAAAAAGAAAAAGTAATAAAAAATGGAATTAGACTTCAAAACCAAAAAACATATAAAAATTATAAAAAAAATAAATAAAACGAACCAAATTATTTTGAAGAAAGTTTGTATGTTTAATGAGCACTGTTTTAAAAACCGTACCGTACCGGCCAGTAATACCGGTAATACCGGATATCCTACAAAAAAACAAAAACAAAATTATTAATTTAAAAACATACAATTTAAATTGGTCCGGTAATACCACCGATAAATATATATATATCCGTATCGGTGGTCATACTGGTGTAGTCACCGGTACACGGTATTACCGGTAGAACTGTTAATTTCGGTGGTAGTACCGGACTAACAAATTTAATGATATATATATATTTATATATAAAAATATATAATACCAAAAAATTACACAAATAATGATATATATATATATATATATATATATATTTATATACGGTACGGTTTTTAAAACAGTGAGAATAATATTATGTTAAAATTGAAGAATATTGTGATGCACCGATTTTGCATTAGGTCTACTGTTTAATTATAGTGGACCAAATTTTGCTTTTACTATTGTTTTTTTAATTTTGCTTTTATTCCCTCCAATCTTTTCTGAAATACTGTTTTTGTAACTTGTGAAATGTGTGGGCCCACCACTACAAATATTTATAGAAGATATATATATGTTAGAGGGTAGAGACTTCCGTAAAGCACAATACCAAATTTATTTTGTACACCAACACCCCATTCCAATTTTTTTTTAAATTAAAAGAAGGTCAACAGTCGTGTGCAAATAAAGTTGTAACAGTCCACATTAAATTCTGTAATAAAGAGGGGTTGTTGTATCGGGTCAAACAGAACAATTGTGTGGGCCCCCCATTTTTTTTAAGCTGAAAACGAGTCTTCCTCAACTCACACGGCTCAAAAGTGTATCCGGAGAAAAGGCATCCTTTCTCCTATTACCGCACCCACCGGAACAAAATTCGTAGCTCCAGCATTGAGGTAGGCTTTCATCACTTTCGTCTTTGTAGCAAGAACATAAAATATGGTTCACAATTTGTGGCTGAAGTGTTTTTGGCGAGTCCATTTTCATCCTCACTTGAACGACGGTTTGCCTTAACCCGTTCGTAAAAATTATGGCCGATACACACAAGTCCGAACTTGGTAGGGAAATTTGTCAGACTTCTATATGCAATAGATATCGAGGCTGCAAATTTGTGGATTGAAATTCGATATAACTTCCAATTTATAGACGCACGCAAATCTCCTTTTATTTTGTGTTTTTAAAAAACATTGATCCGATTTTAAAACGTCATCTTCGTGATTAATCCATAGAAATATTATTATGTCATACAAATTGCAAGAGTTTTTTTTTTTGGTTTTTAT